GCTTTTTCGAAAAAGGATTTTTCAAAAAAAAAGCAGTCTAGACGCTGTTCTTTTGGAAAAAAAAACCTTTTTCTAAAGAACCCTTATGCCTGAAAAAATTAGGTTTACAGGTTATTTGCAAAATAATTAGGTTTGCAGGATATTTAAAGCCACGCTTCATTTGCACTTTCGATTTGCCTCATTTACATGCCTCTGGAGGTTCCTTCCAGGTCTAGTGTTCTATGATCTTACGAGAGCCATCTAGTGGATAGAAGCCTGAATGACAGACAAGCTAAATTCTCAAGTTGCCCCATGTATGCTCCATGTATGCGTTTTGCTAATTCGAACTAGCGCGTCCACACTGATTGGACGCTGGGGAGCACTTAAGGGCGGCTGAAACCGGTTCTGGCAGGGCATCAGGTCAGTGGTTGCTTTCTGTGGCTGCTGTCTGAGGCTTCCTGAGGCTCGTGCTTAAAGGGACCCCCCCTGGACAGCCGGTTCTCAGCTTTTCCGCTTGCTTGCCTACCTCGCCGAGGGACAGCAAAGCATTTTTGTCTGCGCCCGTCTGTGTTGGTGCTTCCCTTCGGGGACGCTGCCGCAGGTGGCAACATGGAGCCAGAGCTTACCCTGCACTTTCTGGTGCAGTTTCTGGACTTGCTGCTGCAAGCCTGCTAGTAATGGCTGGGGGGGGGGGGGGGGGGTGCCCCGCCGCATCTGGCGTCTGGACACCAGCAGCGACTGGTGGGACCGCATTGTCCTGGAGCGCTGGGACGACCGACAGTGGACCCAGAACTTCAGGATTAGGAGGGACACCTTCCTGGAGCTCTGCGAGTGGCTCGCCCCTGCTCTGCGCAGAAGGGACACTCGCACGAGGCCCGCCATCCCCCTTCAGAAGCGTGTGGCCATCGCCCTCTGGAAGCTCTCCATCGGGAACCAGTTCGGCATGGGGAGATCCACCGTCGGAGCAGTGCTCATGCAGGTACGGCACTCGCTGGCCACTGGGCGGGGTGCGAGGAGTGCTGCAAGGAAGGGATGGGCCGCCCCAGGGAAAACAGGGGGATGGAGGGGAGGAGGTGAAAGTGCCCCGCACCGGAGGGGCCGGTCCCTCCCGGCCGTACTACACGCTGCCTGGGGGGGTTGCTTCCAGGAGTGGGGCATGGGGCACTGCCAGGGCACGAACACTCCCAGCCACCCGGGCGCCCCAGTGATTGGCGCTTTGCTGTGTCTCTCCGCAGGTGGTCAAGGCCATCAACTGGGTGCTGCTCCGCAGGGTGGTCCGCCTCGCCGTCCCGGACGCCGTCATCTGGGGGTTCAGCACCTTTGGCTTCCTCAATTGTGGGGGGGGCCATCGACGGGACACACATCCCCATCTGTGCCCTGGAACACCAGGCCTCCCAGTATGTGAACCGCAAGGGGCACTTCTCCGTCCTCCTGCAGGCCATGTGTGACCACCGGGGACAGTTCACGGACATTAATGTGGGCTGGTCCGGCAAGGCACACGACGCACGGGTGTACCGGAACTCCTCCATGTGCCAGAGGCTGCAAGCTGGGACCTTCTTCCCCGACCGCCACATCAGGGTCGGGGACGTGGACATGCCCGTGTGCCTGGTGGGGGATGCGGCCTACCTCCTACAGCCCTGGCTGATGAAGCCCTACACGGGGCACCTCAACCCCTCTCACCAGGCCTTCAATGCGAGGCTGACCAGGGCCCGCATCGTGATAGAGGGGGCCTTCGGGAGACTGAAAGCCCGATTTAGATGCCTCCTCACCCATCTCGACCTCGCAGAGCACAACATCCCTCCCGTGGTGGACGTCTGTTAGTTCGAATTAACTTTGTAGTGTAGACACACCCTTAGTCTTTAAGGTGCCACAGGGCTCATCATTTCTTTTGCAGATACAGATCAACACGGCTTCCCCTCTGAGATTTATTGCCAGAGGATAATTTTAAATAATTTGCCTTGATGTTTCAACTACCTCCTACCGTGATGTCGGGCTGTCCAGTGATTTCAATGGAATGTTGTTCCATATTTTCTGTGTGTGTTTACATGCAAGCTGACATGAGCACAGAGCTAAGGACTGTGGAGTTGTGCTGTATAGTGGAGAGCATAAATAATGGGTAAGGAGTTGTACCATTCTGCTCTGTGTGTACCCAACCAGAAGTCACACGGCTTGTTTGAGAAAAGTGGGACTAAGTTATTAAGGGCAGAAGCTTCATTTGTGAACACCGACACTGGGTATTAGAACCAGCTGATGTTTGGGGAAATTCCCCCCCAAACTAGACTATAATCCAAGCTCTCTCCAGAGATAAACACGCTGAGGTGTATTCTGGGTCGGATGGGTGATGTCGGTATTCCAGCTGGGAAAGGGTGATGAATACTCCAAGCATAGAAACAACGCAGATGATGGGAATCGCATCTCATCTCATCTCATCTCACAGACTAATGCAGCTGTGACCTGCAAAATGAGAGACTCAGGGGGAGCAGCTAGTCATGGGCAGGTGACGCCTTTCCATGGTGTCTTTCCAGATTCCTTTACAGTGGATGTTTTGTATGTAAATGATGTGACATGGGAACTGGTGAGGGTGAGAGCCCTGGGAACGGTGCATTCTATTTGATTAATGCATTTGCATAACTCAACTACTAATGCATATCAGTGCCTACAGCGTTAGCGCCTTTCATTGAGCAGCTGATAGACTGGCTAAGTGCTGCAGGCAGAGAAAATTCTCCGGCGCCCTCTGCTGTTGCTCACACATATCACAGACCACAGCTTGGTCACACACACTTTTGCTAAAGTCACCTGAGAGGTAACCTACGTGCCCCCTGCCCCGCCCCTCTGGCCTGGTCATCCCAGACTGGCCCCTTGCCCCTGCCCCTGCCCTCTGGGAGCATTCTCCAACCACTCCAGCCATTCTTCCTCTTGCTTCCCCACCCTAGAACTCCCCAATTGGCTCTTTCGATTCTAATGCCAGCCATGCAGCCTGCTCCAGCAGGCTTCCATTTCTGCTTACAGAGTTGGGATAACACAGAGCTCAGGCTCCATGGGCAATGAAATGTGCAGCTCTCCAATGATTATCTTTAGGGGTCACAACATACCTCCTGAAGTGGGCATTATGAATCCCATTTTCCAGACAGGGAAGTGGTGAGGTTAAGGGACTTGCTCATGGTCACAGAGGGAGCCAGTGGCAGCGACAGACCAGCTCAGTATCTTGAGCTCCAGTTTCCCTGCCCTTTCCTGTATCAATTGGCACATACTTACTCCTCTGTAGAGCACAGCAGCAGGATGAGCCACTCAGACCCTGCCTGCCCAATGTGCCTCCATCCTGATGTGAGCAGCCCAATTCTGCACTAACCAGCACCCTGTGTAGCAATGTAGACTGGTGCTCAGTGAGTGACAAGGGCTATTAAACAATAATGGGCGAGATCTGCACCCCTTCTGCACTCACTGTGGTGTTATGGCTACACCAGGCTAATAGAATCAGAGACTGAAGGGCCACTGTGACCATCTAGCCTGACTCACTGGATAGCACAGGCCAGAGGCCTGCTCCAGGACATGTCCCAGAGCAGAGCGTCTAGTCAAACACAAAATCCTGATTTGAAAATGGCCAGCGATGAGGAATCCAGCACATCCCTTGGGAAATTCTTCCAGGTGTAGGGCAACAGAGAATCTGGCCCCTCATCTTCTAATGACTATGTGTGAGGGGGAGTCTGCCCTGCACTGGCCCTTTAAGGGCTAAAACCCAGCTCTGGGACAGGGCTAAGAGCTGTGGAGCCAGCAGCTGCATCAAATAGCAGCCAACTAGGCCCAGCTGGGGCTACATAAATAAGGGCTCCTGAAGCGGGTATACAGACTCACTCTTGGTTAGGCTGTGGAGCAGGAGGGACCTGGCTGCTAGGGAAGCCGGATGCAAAGCTGGGCTGGGCTGGGCTGGGCTGGGCAGGGTAGGGTAGGGTAGCTCTGGCCTGATTTCACTCCCAGGCTGCACGGCCTGAGGGTACTAGGGATGTAGCTAGAGCATGGCTGAGGAAAGGCCAGCAGAGCTGGAAGCAAGGCCTGAAGCAAGACCTTAGGTATCAGGGCTGTAGGGAGACAGCCAGGGTAGGCAAAGGCAGCAGGTCCACACCCCCTTGCCAATGCTGAGTGGCCATGTCAGACTGTAGCTTGTCCCTGAGGTAAGGGGCTAGATGAAGACTGACAGTAGGTCAGGTCACTGAGGCAAGGTGGGCATGGGAGGCTGAGGGTTCCTGGAGGGGGAGGACACCAGAGTGTGGGGGCACTGTAGTAGGACAGTAGTCAAAGAGGATGCCATGGTCGGGGAGGAATGTGGGTCCTAACCCTAAGTGGTGGTGAATAAGTAACAGTGTGTGACACACCAGCCACAAGGCTAATTCCTGGAGTGACCAGCAGTGCCCTTGCTGGTGAGTCACACTGTGTTACACTGTGGCTGTGGAGATGGGGCAGATGTCCGTGTGGCCGTGGAAGACTTTTGAGAGGCATAGCCACCTGAGAACAGGCTTTTAAGACTCTGTCGCTATTAGAAATGCCATTCAGTACAGATCTTTAAAGTAGACTACACACCCCTTCACCACCTTTGTGTGGAAGAATGTTAGCTGAGAGCTACCCAAATAGCTGTCCCCACCAAGCTAGTTTTTGTGGACCTTGATCTAGTGCACAGTAGAAAATCGGGTTGGTTTAACTACGTCAGTCAGGGAAGTGAAAAATCCACCTGCTGAGCAGTGTTTAAGCCAAACTGAGTGCTTTAGAGTGACCGAATTCTTCTGTTGACGTGGCTATCACATCTTGCAAGGTGTTACCAATGCTGAAGAGACACATTCTCCCCCCCCCCCAGCCACATAGGTAGCATCTGTGGTGAAGTGCTATGGGGGTGCAGCCATGCTGTGGAACTTTTAAGAGTGGGCAAGCCCCCCTTCCTGGCAAGATGTATTGTATGTCTAAAAATCTGTTTTCTCTTGAATTATTCATTTTCTGCTTCTCTGTTTCTGTTTCTCCATTTGATCTTTCAGTTCTGTCCCCACTGCTATCAACTGAGGAAAGATCAGGGAAGAGCAGAAGGGAGATCTGGGCTCTGCCAGGCAGCCATCTTGAGCTCATCAGCCATGTCTATATTAAATGGAGGATCAATGCTGCGGAAGTCGATCTTCTGGTGTTTAATTTAGTGGGGTTAGTAAGGACTCACTAAATCAAATGCTGATGGCACAGCCATCGACTCAGTACTCCTCGCAGCCTTGAGGAGTAAGGGAAGCTGACAGGAGAGTTTCTCCCATCGACCTCCTGCAATGAAGAAATTCATCTCCGGCTACATTATTTACGTGGCTGTAGTTGTGCATCTTAGGCAGTCCTTTTGGTTTAGTATAGACCTCTGTGCCATTGTTTCCCATCTAAAAATAGAGCCTGTATGTGCCTTACAACCTCTCAGGTGTGTTGTCAGGATCTTGATCCATGAAGGACTGTGGGGCAGGCAGTTATTATTGTAGTAGCCATGATATTAGTGTCTTCCACTGTTTGATCTGAGGAAGTGGGTCTGGCCCACGAAAGCTCATCATCTAATAAACCATCTTGTTAGTCTTTAAAGTGCTACATTGTCCTGCATTTTGCTTCAACTACCCCAGACTAACACGGCTACATTTCTATCAGTACCAAGGTAGAATAGCAAAACTCCCATTGTCTCTGGTGAAAGATCTGGCCCTAAAGCATTCATCCCCCTGCATCTTTCTCTCAACGGCGAATAGAAATAAAAGCAAAACAATAACTTCTGCATTAGTGGAAGTTTTAAAATTTGGTTTAAAAAATTAAAATCAAAATAAAATTCCCCATGACAGACAGCGGCAGTGCAAGTGACCATGGGATAAAGAGAATGTAAGATGTGTCCCATTGATATACGCTGAGGTACCTGCCTAAGCTGTGACATCATGGCTGGTCTGAGATGCAGCACTTTACAGCTGGGGTGGGCAATAAGTTTCAAAGGGAGGGGCCATTTCACAAATTTTTGAGGTGGCCCGAGGCTGCCCTGGAAATGGCGAGGTGACAGGTGGAAGGGGTGGGGCCAGGAGAATTCTTGACTGGCATAGGAGTATGAGGGGAAGCACGTGAAGTCTTTGCCCCTCCCCCCCAGATAGAACCACCAGCTGTTCAGAATAGCTGGCAGTTCACTCCCAGTGGTCTCCAACCTTTTTAAGCACAAGATCACTCTTTGAATTTAAGTGCAATGTAAGATCTACCTCAAACCTCACACTTTTGCCCACTTCCTTCCCCCACTTCTCGGAGGCCCTGCCCCTGCTCACTCCGTCCTCCCCTGTTCTACCTCCCTTTAACCAGGCAGGGGCAGTGGGTTGGGGCACAGGCTCTGGTCTTGGGCTCAGGGATTTGGAGCGTGGGGGGGCTCCGAGCTGAGCCTGGGGCAGGTGGTTGGGGGGGGCAGGAGAGGGTTCAAGCAGGGGCAGATGACCGTTTTGCAAGGCCCAGGGCAGGATGATCTTGCAGGACCCCCTTTGCCATGGCACATGCGCGGTGATGCAACATGCATGCGCAGTGGCGCCAGGGCACATGAGCGGGGCTTTTTGAAGCGGCCGCCCCGCTCACCCTGCTGTATATCTGCCCCTGGGTTCAAGGTACTGGCTCTGTAAGGGAGTTTGGGTCTGGGGGCTGAGTGCTAGCAGGGGCTTGGGATGTAGGAGGAGGTTCATGACTGGGACAGGGGATCGGAGCTGGCTCCAGCTGGACACTGCTGACCTCAGGTGGCTCCTGGGCAGTAGTGCAGTGGGGCTAAGGCAGGCTCACCACTGCCCTGGCCCTGCACCACTCTCAAAAGCAGCCAGCAAACTCCCTCCATCCCAAGTCCTGTTGTGCCCCCTCCCCCATTCTGTGGGGATAGGATACAGGGTGGGAGGGGGCACTCTGACATTAGCACCCTCCTCTCCCTTCCCTGCTCTGTTCTGCAGGAGGCTCCCCAGGGGACAGCTCCAAGGGAGAGGGCAGGAGATGTGCAGCAGTGCCGGGAGGGGCAGTTGAAGTGCTACACTTGACAATAGCCTCTTGGCCAAAGCAGCCAGGATCACCTGTCAGAGGCTCCAAGATCTACCCGTAGATCCCGATCGACTGGCTGGTGGCCATGCTCTAGGCACTGTGTGCCCCTGATGGGGCGGGGGGGGGGGGGGGAGAGGAAGGGAACTTGCATGCTCCCCTGTCCCCAGTTCGATTGGCTTGGGGGCGAGGGGGCAGCAGGGCAGCCGCAGACCAGATCAACTTGCTTTGAGGGCCACATCCGGCCCGCGGAGGCTCTCCTGCCCACCCCTGCTTTACAGCATTTCCTTCTCAGAAATCCAACACATGTGGGGGGATATGTTTAGGCAGGATGAGAGAGCTCCACTGTAGTCAGATGTCAGCAAGCACCCTCTTGATTTATCACCACGCGGCTTTCTGCAAAGCGCTTCAGCTTGCCACCAAATGGCACTTTACTAACCTACGATAGAGATGGGTGGAAGATCTGGGAGTTTCATTCTGTTGCTGGTTGCCAGATTGGTGTCTCTGTGCTCCTCAAAGGCCAAGTGCGAATAGGTAGTTGAAAGCAAAATGCAGCAGAGAAATAAAGCGAGGAAGAGGCTCTTATCTTCCATCCTGGGGAGAAAATCAATTGTGCAATATCAGTCACAAATGATGTAAGCAAAGATGGGTTGGGGGAAGCACTTAAAATGGCTTACTAGAGTGACACAGCTTCACAGGCAAAATAGCCTTCAATTTCACAGTATTCCTATGCTAATACCTTCCTGGAGTAAAGTGTTTGGATATGTTAAGTTAAATCATCATGTTGTATGTCCTGTAAAGAACTTGCAGTCCCATAACCATTGCAAAATTAGGCACGTCAGAGCCCAAACAAAATTTCTAACTGTGGCGATAGTTTTGGAGTTGCAAAAGACTTTTTTCCATTGAAATACAATACATTCACAGCAGAATCTCAGACTTGGAAAACAGGCTTATTGTTTGGACTTGAGCATGGATCACTTCATGTATTTGTAATGCTTTGCCACTAGTAGAGACATACCTAGGGTAGGATGCAAGTGACAGGAAAACCCCAGAACTTCAACATTAAATATAGTCCACAAAATAAAGGAAAGCAGCTTTTTTCTTCTGCATAGCCAAGTTTCAAAGCTGTATTAAGTCAATGTTCGCTTGTAAACTTTTGAAAGAACAAGCATAATGTGTTGTCCAGAGTTACTAACATTTCTGATGCATCCTAGAACTGCATTAACCTTTTTAATAGCTGCATCCAATTGGTGGCTCATAGTAGTCCTGTGATCAACCAAAACATGCAGCTCTTTCTCCTCTTCTGTCATTCCAAGTGGTAAGTCCTCAGTTATTAGCAAAAATTCTTTTTGTTAATCCTTGTGGTGGGATGACTGCCCCCCACTGGCTGTACAGGGTTATTGCAGGCTGGAAGGAGCTTGTGCAGAGCTCTGGCCAATGAGGGAGAGGCTTTTAAGGAGCCAGTCAGGGTGCAGCTTGCTGAGGCAGCCCCGCATAAAAGAAGCTGCTCAGCAGAGAGTAGTAAGTTAGGTGCTGACCAGCGAAGGTGCAGGACCAGTTCCCAGATAAAGCACCTTGGGAGAGCAGTGCTGGGCCCTGTGACAGTCCCTAAATGCCTGACTTTTCACAACTACATTTCATCCCATTTCTGTTTCTCCAGTTTCCAAGATTATCTAGGTCGTCTTGTATGATGCTCCAGTCCTCCTTGCCAGGCAATAGATAGGCAATCCCTCCCAACTTTGTGTCATCTACACAATTTATTAGCACTCCTTTTGTGCCAAAGTCAGCAATAAAAATATTAAATTAGATTGGGCTCAAGGCACATCCCTGAGGAATGCGATAACTCCTCCAGCCTGACAGTGTGATCCACTGTAGTTTCCCTTTTAACAAGTGCCTGCTCTCCTTTCAGTTCTCAGATTAATCCCCATCATTTCCATATGGAGCTGGATCAAATGCTTTACTGAAATCCCTATAGATTAGATTTACTGCACTTCCTTTGTTTAAAAAAAAATCACATCTGGCACAATCTACCATTTGTAAAACCCCATTGTATTTTATTCCAGTTACTGTTGATCTCTGTCCTTATCTCCTTCTCATTCAAAATTGGTTCCAAGACCTTCCATACAATTGAGGTCAAATTACAGGCCTGTAGTTTCTTGCATTGTCTTTTCCCTTTCTTAAAAAGGCTCATACAGCTCTAGAGGTCCCAAGTGTTTCATATTTCACTAGATCCATGTCTATATTATAGATAAGATTGAAGCAGCCACAGTTGATCCTCTGGGGTTCAAATTAGCGGATCTAGTGAAGACATGCTAATTCAATCCAGGAGAACTGGTAGTCCTGCTTCTAAGAGGAGTAAGGGAAGTCTAAGGGAGAGTGGACTTCCTGCAGTGTGGATGGCGTTAAAATTTGAGTTAAGATACTTTGATTTAAACTATGCAGTTAACTTAGCTGAAGTTGTGTATCTTATTCCCTAGTGTAAGGACCATACCTAGGAGGGTGGTGAAGCACTGGGATGGGTTCCCTGGTGGGAGGGGGTGGAATCTCTATCCCTAGAGGTTTTTAAGACCTAGCTTGACAAAGCCCTGGCTGGGATGATTGAGTTGGGGCCGGTCCTGCTTTGGGCAGGGAGTTGGATTCAATGACTCCTGAGGTCTCTTCCAACCCTGAGATTCTAAGTTTGGTCCTGGCCAGTCGTGACCGGAGTCTGTTACTATGCCTGAAATTTAGATCATATATAACTGACATCAGTTGTAGACTTGTTCAGCCTCACAGTTGGTGACTGGACTAGATGACCATTGAGATCCCTTCTAGCCCTTTGTTTCTATGGTTCTATTCAGCACCTTTCCTCTTGCAGCCACATGGGAATCACTTAATTTACTCCCAAAATGCTGCCATCTTGGGGGTGAAGTGATGCAGCTTCTCAAGATCATGCAGCAACTCTACACCAGGAAATGAACAATAGTTTGGCTAATTGGAAGTGCGATGGGAAATTCATGCCCTGTATAGTTATAATCCAGTGGAATTTAGCCACAACTAAGTCTAGTCTAGCACCTCCTACTGCTGCAAAAGGCTCACTAGGATATTAATCAACCACAAATGTTTAGGACTTCTACTTCATGACTCAGCTGAAAGGCATGCCTCACCCTCTCCAACTTTGCCACAGTCTGGATTCATGTTTTCACCCCGCCCTCCCCCAGGTCATTCCTCTAGCAGCTTTGACATTCCTTTGTTTGGGCAGCTGGTCCTAGTGAGGTTGAGGGCTGGTTTTACTTTTAATATGTATCAGCTGGGTGGTATGTCAGAGCAATTGGAGTCCCACTCTGGAGGCATGGCCAACTGGGAATTCATTGGGCTGTGTCCACCTGCACAAAATGTAAAGGAACCAAAAGACTAGCAGTCTTTTCTCGGGATTCGCTTTTCAGTAAGCGCAATTGATCACATCAGTATGGGGACAAAGGAGGAAGACACTGGGGTTCAAAGGAGGAAAAAAGGGTTCCTCATTATGTCGACCGTAGTTAAGTTTACCGAGTGTGCACTGCACTTTCCTTTGACTCATCTGACAGAATCTACCTTGGGAGACATCCAGAACAGTGTTTCTTGTGCCAAAGCGCTTGGCCTGTCTTTAAAATACACTCTTGTACAGTGCCAAGTCGCTTAGTAGCAGCATTAGAAGACTTGAAAAATATTCATGCAAGAGGGGCCTGTGCAGAGCCCTTAATTTCATCTCAAATCATTTGTTTTAAATCAGATTGTTTTGTGCACAGAAAACATGAATTATGAATATAAAGAGGCCAAGTCCTCCACTGTGCAGGGAGGGCTTTGTGGCCCTCAGTCTCTGAGTGTAATATTATTATGCTATTTATTTAGTGGAGATGGAAGATGGTATTTAGCATATGGTTAAAAACTGGAAGAGTTTGGATGTCCGCTGAAGAGAATTTGATGACAAAATACCCTTCAAAGGTTATCGTCTCTGAAGAGCAAATGAACTTTTACTGGGGACTTGCCCTAACTGGAATTGTCATGTGTATAGAGCAGTGGTCACCAACCAGTAGATGGGCATCTATTGGTAGACCTTGAAGCCTCTGACGGGAGATCCTCACTGGTTTGGCCAGGAAGCTATCAAGTGCCAGCACTTCATCTGCTCCTCTCAGCACCGCCATGCTGCTCCTGCCCTTGGTCTTGGAACTTCCTCCCACACCCCAGGAGCTTCCTGTGCAAGGCATGGGAAGAAGAGGGGATGATGATATCTGGGTGCCCTTCTCCTCCTCCCAACCCCACAGAGCAGAGGGGGGACAAGGATGAAGAGAGTTTTCTGGCTGCTTCTGAGTGGTGCAGGGCCAGGGTAGAGATGAGCCTGTCTTAACACCGCTGTGCCACCATCCAGAAGCCACTCGTGGTAAGTGGTGCCCAACTGGAACCCGCATCCTGAGCCCCAGTCCTGAACCCTTCCAGCACCCCAAACCCCATCCTAGCCCTGAATCCCTCTCTGCACCCAAACCTCCTCCCACAGCCTGCACCATGAACTCCCTCCTGCACCTCAACTCCCTGCCCCAGGCTCAGCTCAGAGTCCCTTCCACACTCCAAATCCTGTAGCCCAAGATAAGTGCCTGCATCCCCTTCCCTCGCATCCTAGCCCTCTGCCCACTGCCTGATAAAAGTCGGGCTTGGGCAGGGGACCTAATGATCCTAGTCATGGACCAGATTCCGTGATGAATCCTGGCCCTGCGCCACGTGAGGCTCATGGTGTATACGCTAAGAAGAATGTGCAGTGGAAATGAAAAAGACAAACAAAACGTTTAGCTGCACTAAGCATCCCCTTCCCTCGCATCCTAGCCCTCTGCCCACTGCCTGATAAAAGTCGGGCTTGGGCAGGGGACCTAATGATCCTAGTCATGGACCAGATTCCGTGATGAATCCTGGCCCTGCGCCACGTGAGGCTCATGGTGTATACGCTAAGAAGAATGTGCAGTGGAAATGAAAAAGACAAACAAAACGTTTAGCTGCACTAAGAGAGAATAGTATGAAAATGTTATTAAACAAACGGCATGCCCTCAG